TTAAGGGAACCTGCAGACCTTGGCTTTATGATCCCCGGCGTTTTCCCATTGATTTATTCTCACATCTGTATTTGCAACAGACAAAGTCTCATTTTAAGCTGCGGCTTTGTAAATCTTCCTTTTACAGGGGTGCTTTGTCTCGTATCACGGGGAGCTTATGTTGCTGCAGCTGCATAATGTAGCGCCCGATGCAGAAATCCCCCGGGTAGACCAGCCGTTAGCGCCGTTCTTGTCCCTTTCCTGATCCGAGTTTTGCACAATGGGCTGGTGATTTTTGCCTGGGTTTCTAACCGCTCCTGCTTAGTTTTCTCCCACGTTGGCTACCTGGTTCTTGTCATTCGCGTCTCGGTTCAAGCTGTGCCTCCCTTGGGTTGAGTTACATTCGTCCTCAGCCAGGGGAGTTGACATGCGAGCAGGCAGCTAACGGTGCGGTGTGGAGGAGGCTCTCCATTTAAATGTGATATTTCCCTATAAATGCTTAAGGCTGATCCCGTCGTGGAGGGGAAGAGTTACTGGTTTTAAGCACGGCATAAGCAGTTTGTGGTTGAACTTGGGGACTAGCCGGCCAGGATATTAAGGCAGTCTGGGAGCCTGCAGGTAGTTGCCATCTCTCTCTGTATAAGTGACTTCAGCTTGCAATTATAAACACCATTGCTAAATAACAAAGAAGGATTTCTGCACCTCCCTGCCTCTCTGCCATCTGACGCCGCCCGGGAAGAAATCCTGCCTTATCCGCGCATCAAAGAGTAAGTCACGCAAAGGACCCAGAGGAGCAGGCATCCACCTTCAGCTTCCTCTGTGCAAAACCGAGTTTATTTTCTACCCATGGAGACTTTGACCATCTTTCATTCTGAAGCAGGGTGAAAGCTTGCAAAGAAAGATGATTTTTTGTGTGTGCAATTTCTTAGTTGGTCTAATAAAAGGTATCATCTCTGAACCCAGAGTTTGAGAGCTTTGCATTTCATTCAGCTCGTGTTGCAATTCTCTGCTTCATTAAAGGCAGGTCGAGGCTGACTGCAGCTGTGCCAGTCCACCCGAGCCAGCTGCAATCTAGCCGGGAAGGGCTGGAGCATCACTGCATGGCCCCACCAGCTGGGTCCTCTCACCTGCAAGGTGCTCATGCCTCCCTGCGCACTCATAGCCTTTACGAGCATGGTGATGGTGAAAGTTGCACGACAATTAAACAGGCATGGATATGGTAATTACTGTGCGCGTGCTGTTCTCCTCCCTTTGTTGCGAGTGCACTCCTGAAGCTACTGGAAGCCAGGGGTGAGTGGGAGGCAGGATAATAAAGGTATTTGCAAGAGAGATTTCCATGTACTGTGCGGAGCAGATTGCTCTGAGCCTTCCTGCCCTGCTTTGCTCCAGGGGGAAGGGCAGCATCTTGGGGTCCTGTCTTCAGGGAGGAAAGGGGGCTCAAGCTGCAGCACTTGCCCATAGCAGCCAGGCCAGTGGCCCTTGTCAAGCGGGCTTGAACGGCAGCTCAGTCGTCACCCACCTGATCGTGCTGCTGGTTCCCATCGCCATCTCATCCATATGAGTGCAAAGCCTGTCGAGCAGCGGGGCACGTGCTTAGGGCACGTGGTGATTTCAGAGCTTTGCCTTGGTTGTTCAGGAACGCTGCAAAGCACAACTGCCTGAGGAAGCACCGGTGCCTGGATGCATATGGGGTGTCCTCGGGTGGGGGGAAGCTGCCTCAGCTCCCTCCTTCCTTGCTAGCATTCACGATCCATGAGGCTCAAAGCCAGGGGTGTTATTTTAGGAAGCTGGGGCCTCCTTTGCAAAGCTTGAAGGCATGTGAAGGAGTTCCTTGAGCTCCTTGCAGAGATTGTAAGGCAGCTCCTTCTGGAAAGAAAGTGCCAGGGAGTCCCCGAAGAAACAGCAGTTTCTAGCACTGCTCAGATGATCGGCACCAATTCACAGCCCACCAATTTGCTGTTCATCTCATCTTCCAGGGTTTGGCATCCGCGCCGGTCCATCTGTAACCAGAGCTCCTCTGTCTGCTATTCCTGCGTGCAGTCCCCTCCCCTGATAAGCGTTGCATCTGCAGAGGCTGCAGCCGTGGGGCGCTTCAGGGTGTCCCGCAGCCACGCACGCAGTATTCTCTGTTTCTGCCTCCTCCAGAAGGGTGCCTTGGTGATGCCCAGATGATTGCATGTCTCCGGAGGCAGTGGAAGGCACGAAATCAAACAAGGGTGCTACTTGCATGGGAACAGAGAGAGGACTGGTGCCTGTGAAGCATAGGTGGAGCTCATGGTGCAACTGAAAGAGTTCATGGAAACCGATACCTTAGACCGAAAACCTTGCTGACAAGCCCAGACCTCTCTGATCCGTTGGTCTTGGGGCAGAGTCTGTCACGGGGAGGTAGACGGCACCCCATCGCTTCGAGTGCTTGAAGCCTGGCTTGGTAAGCCAGAGGAGAACGTCTGGCAGGAGACCACCCTGGATAACTGAACCCTTCGGACCCTGCAATTAAGGGAGAAAGACCCTTTGATGCACTTGCAGGCATTGCTGATGTGGGTGAGATCACAGGGAATTTAGTCGACTCCTTGAAATCTGTTAAGCCACGTCCACCGTTGAATGTACGTCCAGCTGCGCCTTGCCTGGGTGGGTGAGACGGAGCTGCTGCTCCTCTCACCTGTTTGGTGGTTAGGGGTTTACCTCCCTCGCCTTTCCAATCCTACACAGCCCTCATCATGGACTGAATGGTGAGCTTCACAGTCAAGGGACTGACTTCCTAAGAACTTAGAGCCAAATGATGACAAGCCGAGCCCTTCCACATGCAGCAGACCGGAAAAGACCCTCCAGGGCTGGTCCTTTCCATGTCAGAGCTGCTTTTTGGCTTTTTCTACTCTGGTAAATAAGAACCATTATACACAGAAAAACAGGATGTAACAATTAACCAATGCATTCCCATATCCTATGGTTCAGCTAGAATTTGGGGAGGACAAGATGCCTGGTTTTATCGTGGCAATAATGTGTGTATTGGGTTGTTAGCAGCGGTGACAGCCAACTCGCCAGAAGAAGCTATTTTGGAAGGAGAAGTGTAAGCATCTGCAGACAGATGGGTTCAGAGCTGGTGGCCCCAGTCCGAGACTTGGGAGAGGCATTGCTGTATTGCAGGGGTGGCTGTGTGGACCCTGCCAGGCCAGGCCTCTCTTGGTCTGCTGTCTGATACCAGGTAAACCAGTACAGCCTGTTTCATGATTGGGTTGTCAGCAACTAAACCGGCACCCCCACCTGCACTGGCCTGGGTGGGAGGGTGTGTGGACACCCAGCGGGACTAAAAGCAAGACCTGTCAAGGGCGGATGAGCGTCCTGGGAGCCAATGGCCATCCCTACCTGGAGAGGAGATGGGCACCACTGGGTCACTCTGCCCGAACAATCGCCAATGATGCACAGCATCCGAGGTGTCCCAATGGTCGCAGCAGCCTCGGGACCGACTTTGACTCGACTTGGCTGCCTGGTTGCATGAATTTCGATGTCTTCATTTCAAGCTTCCCGGATGGCTTCTGATTGCTGAAATGCGCTAATTCCTTGCTGTTCCCTACTTAACCCCAGCAGATGTTTTTTGTTGCGTGCTGTCGAGAACCTCCTCAGAAAGCTTTTAAGCCATTTCTTTTATTTTATTTTATTTTTTTATTATTACAGATGGCAAGATGCGAATGACAAAAGTGACACCCCCGCTTTCCCGGGAAGACCTGGCGTGTCGATTTGCATGAACGCTTTTATGCTAAGCTTCTTAATTGGCATTGAAAATGCGTGCTTTGCAAAGCGCTATGTGACAGTCGAGCATTATCCAGCCTCAAAATGGCATGGGAAGCAGCTGATATTCAATCAAAACAGTTTCAGACGACTTCTTACACTTGTTTGTCAGCACCAAAAATTCCTGGGCAGGAGACGAGGGGTCAGGGGAGAGAATTCAGTGCGTCTGAAATGTCAAATCTTCTTTAGTGCAAAGCGGCAGCTGTTGCCTATGTGGTGTCCAGGAATTTCTGTCCATGTCGTTTCTTGGCGTCACTTCGCCTTTTCTATCTAAAGGTGAACAGGAAAGCTCTCGCTCCTAATAGGTCTTTTATTATACCCCGGCTACCGCTTCTGCCCTTTTGCTGTCCCAGTTGGTGTTTGGGTTTTACTTCATCGGCCAAAATACAGGGTAGGGCTAGTCCTCGCCCTTGTGGAAACACAGGTCTGGGGGACTCAGAGCCTTGGTTTGTCAAATGAAAATGAAGGTTTTTCAAAGATGGTTGTAGGGTGGTACTGTATTGGCAGCATCGTGAGGCCTAAAACAGAATTGTAGCATCCTAAAAAATGAGGGTTGGAGGGACCCCACATCTCGTCCAACCCCCTGCTCAAAGCAGGACCAGCCCCAACTACATCATCCCAGCCAAGGCTTTGTCTACCCGGATCCTAAAAACCTCCAAGGGCGGAGATTTGCACCACCGCTCTGGTAGCCTGATCAGGTGTTTTACTACCCTCCTAGCGAGAGGTTTTTTCCTAATACCCAACCTCAACTTCCCTTGCTGCAGCCTGAGCCCATTGCTCCTTGTCCTGTCATCTGCTCCCACTGAGACCAGTCCAGCTCGATCCTCTTTGCAACCCCTTGCAGGGAGTTTGCTGTCAAATAAATCTCTCTGCAACGGCGTCTTCTTCCGTCAGCAAACTCAAGCTTTTGGGGATCAACCTGCAGGGGTTGGGGACAGGATGGGCTTGAAGTAGCTTCTTTTGGGGCCCTTTAATATTCTCGTGGTAGTGGAAAGTCGCCATGGGGCTGCCTTGTCTTCCCTCTGAGTGAAGGCTTTGATGGGCGCACCTATTGGGCGCTCAGCAATGTTTAGCAGACAGGCTGGCACTAAATTAAATTGAAATGAAACCCCCTGGGAGAGTTTGAATCTGCATCTTTCCAGCTGTTCCTGCATGGGTGGAGAGGTGGGGACCTTTTTCAGGAGCAAACCTGCTGTCTGCCACATTGACCTTGGCTTATGCTTTCTAACCCTCAGACAAAGGTGAGAACGGGGAGCCCTACCAGAGGAGGAAAGGAGGGGGATCTGTCCAGCCAGAAGAGCCGGCTGCTTTCCTGACTTCCAGAGATGCTGCGCCGACGCCGGGATGCAGCAGTTGGAGGCGGATTATGCTGCTGATCCTGGCAATAACGATACACAATATTCCTGGTAAGCACCATCGGGGTAGCATCCTCTGTTTGAAGATGGCTTGCTTGGCTGGCCAGTGGGCAGTGAATTGGTGGTTTCCTTGGGCATGGTTCTGCTGTTCCCTTTTTTTTTGGCTCATTACAAAGGCATCTGGGTGCCTCGCTAATGAAACCCGCTGTGTATTGTCTTTAGTTTGGATTTTCACATCAGTCTTATAAAGGCCTCATCAACACTAGGAGGGTACAGTTTTGCAGAAGTGGCTACCGATGCAATATTGTGCCCTCAATTCCCTTGGTCTCACAGCTGGCACAAGCTTGAAGTGTTTAAAAAAAACACCAAAATCACAAGAAAGGAGGTTAAATATCATGAGATTTCAACACCTGTTGAGCTCTTACTACTATTTTGCTATCTGGTCTTTGTGCTGAGAAGGGGTAATGCTTTCAGGCAGTAAAAAAATATTTTTTTTAAAAGAAAAGCAGGTTTCCTTCAGAATCCCACCGCTCCAAGAGCTGAGGCTTGACAGTGAGTATTGCAAAACTGGGGGTACGTTTTTGAGATGTGGTCTCACTGAAATGCTTTGCAGTCATAGATTTCATAGATTTTAGGGTCATCTATTAGATCATTGAGTCTGACCCCCTGCCCTGGGCTGGGAATAGCGCTGGGGTCAGATGACCAATGCTGGGGTCGGGCCAGTCCTGTATGGTGGTGCAGGTAGGAGAGGGGGATCCTGCTTCCTTTTTTTTCCTCCTCTCACCTGCTTTTCCCTTCTATTTTATGCTTTTTGCTTGGGGCAGGGATAGGACAAAAGGCCTCTGTGTGGTTTTGACTTTTGGGAACATGGGATTCTTCGAGGCCCTTTGAAACAGCGTGTTGGGGAAGGCGTGTGATGGTGCCACCCTCTTGCACGCAGGAGGCGAAAGCGGCTGAAATACAAAAGCCTCTCCCTTCCCATCAGAGCAGAGACTGCAGACGCACCTTCACGTTGTTGTGGGCACTTTGATTTTGATTGCGGCTTCTCCTTCCTGCATGGCGGGGGCAGAGCTGCCGTTTTCTGTTGCATCCCTGGACGCGTCTCGTTTCTGTCGAGTCTTGTCAGAAGGCTCAAAACTACAGGGCCTTGGTCCTAGTGCTTGTAGCACCCGCAAGGGCAGTCAGGACCTAGCCATGCACAACAGGATAACAAGAACAGCAAAGCGACGGGGGCTTTGGGGCACGTCAGTGTGTGCGCAGGGGTGTGTAAGCTGGCGTGTTTTTCCTCTGTTTGAATTCCAGAAGCCGCAGTCTTTCCACCCTTGCTATTACCTGCTTTGCCCTTGGCAGCAAATTGCTTCTTTTCAGGCCGGAATCAATTTTCCCTGCCCTCCGTTGCTCGCCGTGCCAGCGGGGTTCGCTTAACTAGGCTTTCCATTAACGCGAGCAGGTGGTGCCGTAACACCTTGCTGCCTTCCACCGTACCTTTTGTTGGCTGAAATCAAAGGGCTTTGCCCACAGCAATTATCAACGTGTCCTGACATCTCTTCAGCCACATCTGCGCTAGCAAAATCCGGGCTGCCTTTCTAGCCATTGTCAAACCTTGGAAAGCTGCCCCATCGCCAAGCTGCAAAGGAAGGCAGGGTCTGGATTTACCTTTGTCTTTGTGCCTGGCAAACCTGCTCTCGAAGGGCTGAGGTTCTTTGGAATTGCTTGAAAACATAGATGTGGATTTTATTTTCCCCTGTCATCAGTGGTTGCGTTCACCCATTGCTGTTGCACAAACATTTCTTTGATTGCCACTGGGGTGGGTTCAACTTTCAGGTGCAGCTAATCCACCCTGCTCTGCTATTGAGTGACCGAGGAACAAATCAAACATCCGCTGCAAACAGAGCTTCGTGTAATGCCGCATTAGGACTGACACTTTTGAATCTGCAAAAGCTGAGACTCTCTGAGTGATAGTTCTCCTAGAAGCTGCAAGCCTAATACATGCAAGAGATGTGTCACGTCTCTGTCCTTGGCATGGGGTAACGAGGCTGCCAGTGCAATGACCGTTTAACAGTGGGAGCTAACTGACTGATGGGAGGAAGGAAGGGAGGGAGTACATGCTGCATGTTGAAGCCCTTTGGTTTGGTTTGGGATGGTAGGCATACAGGGCTAGGTCAGCGAGGCCGGTTCAGCAGTCCTCGTAGCTCAGTGGTCCATCAAGCTCTCATACAGGAATTTGCAAGAAACTTTGCAGAAGGGAGGATCCCATGCCCGTGGCTGGCAGGCCCCAAGCAGAGCGCTTGATCTGAATCTCCTTCTGTGTTTCAAACCTTGTGTGTGTGTGCATGTGCAGGTAGGTTGCTGGGATATTTACTGGTACAGTTCTGGGCATTACATGTTTGACTATTCTCCCTCCACCCTTTCTGTGCATTTTCTCATGCTCTTGGCTGTTCATCCCTGGCGGCAATTAATTCCACAGCCTAATTGCACCTTGTTCCTTTCTAAAGGTACGTGTTTGATTTGCTGCCTTTCCCTCTCTTACCTCCAACGGAAAGGCAGTGTCGGGCCCTCTGCTCCCCGCAGAGACCTCTGCTTATGTGCTATTCTTTGGCCCTCAACCAGCGATGGAGTCGGAGAACAAGGTACAAACACCCATGAGAAAACAGCTGGCTACGATCAGACCGGTAACGAGCTATCGACACACTTGATATCAACATTGAAACAGCCCGGGGGAGCATGGTTACCCCAGTTCAGTCGTGAGAGAAGGGGAAAGACTCCCTTTGCCCTTCATACCATCTTCCATCTAATCTGCCTATAAATATCGCCGGTGGGGTTTCATTGGGGGTTTCCGGGGGAGGTTTTTCTCTGCAGAGCATGACATGATAAAGAGTTAATTGTGGGACTTGGCTATTGAAAATAATTAGGGCGCTTGCAGAATAATTAGGGGCGCATGCTCCCTCCAGGGCCCTGGGTTGCCAAACTCTCACCCAGGAGGTACAGAGCTGTTCATTGCTCCCTTCTAGCCTGCGGTGCTTCAAAACGTTGAATCCTTGCTCCGTCTTTCCTTTGTGCCTGTGCTTTTAGCCGCTCCCGTGGCCCCTGTCCAGCAAGGGAGCGTGCGGCTTGGCAGCATCCCCGATTCCAGCGCTCGGGCTCTCCACACCTGTCTCTGCCGTAAGGACAGTTGTCAGCCAGATGCCTGAGCAGAGCAGCAATTCCTCTCGTCCCATTGGTAGCGACGGCTGCCGCAGATGTTTTGAGGGATCTGCAGAACCCGTATAACTGATGATTATACAGTGATATCCCTGGAGGAGGAAGCTCCTTCCTAAGCCCAGATGGCTGACTCGCCTCTTGACGCACAAAGGCTCATATCCCTCGTATGTTTTCAGCTGCTCTAATATATCGGTGGATGTTTTTCATGTGACGGTCTAATCCTGCCCATATCTAGTCGTGGATTTCTAGTGATTTATCCAAAATAAAGCTTCAGATTAAAGGAATCTAATTTTTACTGCTGCTGTACGCTCACGGCAGAGACTGAGTGATAGGAAGGCTAACATAAAAGACATGAGGCTGTGGAGGTATATACAGGGCGATGGGGTGGGGTGATGGCAAGGTTTCACCGGCATGACTTTGGCACGACTGCTTTTAAAAAAGGGCTTATTCATGAACCCAATGCCAAAAGATCAAGCAGGTTTTGGAGACAGAATTTCAGGGGGAGATGTCTGCCTTTCCCACTCCAAAAGGAAGCAGGACTTGTGGCAGAGGTGCTCTCTTTTATTAGATCAACTAGATTTTTTGCAAAAAAAGAATAGTTTTAATTGCAAGCTTTGGGGCACGAACACCCTTCTTCAGGCATAGGAGAAAAGACTGTAAAAGTTCTCCTGGGTAGAAATGAAGCTCCTATTTCATAGGAGAGTTGACGGTGTGGTTAAATCTCCAGTTTGGAATAGTTCATTTTATATCCAGATTGGATTTGCAAAAATCTAGTTGGTTTAATAAGAGATCACCTGTACCATGAGTCCTGATTGCTTTTGCCACTAGACTAATACGGCTACAACCCTGGATACCTTTCCAACTCCAGGCAGCCAGGCATCAAAAGCTGGCCGCGAACAAAGAGACGTGCTTGAAAACAGTTAGATTGCAAAGAAGGATGTGGATTCCTTTTGTGTGTTGTCTTGGGTGGCAATATTTGGGCTTCTCATCTTCCAGCTTTGCTCTTTGGGTGGCAGATGAGGGGTGGAAACCTCCCCTGCTTTCTAAATAAAATCAGAGGTTCTCCATTAATAACCTGACTCCAAGTGCGTGGGAGCGTGCTTGTGTGTTTGCATGTGGGGGAGAGGGGCTTTTAGGAAAAAATACCAAATATGCTGAGAGTTGCAATAAAAGCAGGAATTTGGCCCCAGTGATTTCCAGGCTGCTGTAGCCCATTTCCTGCTGAGGTCGGGGGGTCTGAGCACTGCTTCCCGTGGCAGCAGAGAGAGCGAGGCCGGTGCTGAGCCCTCTTGAGTATCCCGTGCAAAGTCTCTCCTCCGCTGCGTTTGTATGGCCGATCTCCGCCGTTCAGGAAATGTGGCATTGGGGGAAAGGCATTTCCATCTCTCCAGCTTCTTTAATTCAACTTCCATTCTGGCAGCCTGCTAAGCTCTAAAATAAAAAGTATGGGAGCTTAATTGAATGGGAATTTGTCAAAATAGGGTTGGGGGTTCTTGTTTAATAGATAAGGGAGCACTTGCTTTCTGCCTGCGGGAAATGGGTTTTAATTGGTTCTAACTATTGCAGCTAATGAAGAGAAATCCGGTGGGGGCGCATCTGTCATCTCTGAGAATAAGGGGCTCTACGGTGGCGTATGGGATAGGGCAGAGTCTTTAGGGCTTTTTTCTCCGGGTTGCTAAGAGGATCGTGCCCACCAGGTAGATTTATACTGACATTTGTTGTGGGAAGCCCCAGGGAGGTGTGATCCTGGACCCGGTTGTGCTTTGTATGCGCTGTGCAAACTCAGGACAAAAGACCATCCCCGCTTTAAGGTATTTGCAACCTAAATATTTTTTTGCAAAAATCTTGTT